TATCTGATTAAAAACACTCAACATAAAAGGTCAAGTTTTAGGATAGGTATAATATCAGGACACTTGTTTTTGTGATCTGTATTTTTCAGATTGTATTACTTAGAGGATAGAGGTGTCAGATTTTTGTTTTGTTTTGTTTTGTTTTAACAAGACTTTTGGTGGGCAATGGTAGACATTTGTGTACCCCCAAAATGTTTGGAAATGACAGTCTGTGCTTGAATGATCTTAACATAAGGCAGTATATTTACAGTCCAAAGGAGAGTAAAGTATGTATGTTAATATGGTCTAGTATATAATCAAACTCTCTCTGCTAGCATTGACTCTTTTCTTCAACTACAAAAATCCTCTCAGATTATAATACAATGATTAAGACTTGAGTTTTTAATAATGAAATCTCATAGTTTTCAATCTCTGGATTTTTAAAAGTAAATGACTTTCGAATCTCCTTCAGAAACATATATGGCAAAACAGGAGAATGTGGAGTTAAAGGTCAAAATGAGTGAGTTTATACTGCCAACAGACATGCTTTACAAGCAAAACAAGTTTATCTTTATGAGACTTAAGCTACAATATGACCTTGACTCCAACAGTCAAAATGTTTCCATGCATTCAGTTAACTAAATGAGTCTCCCAGCCCCCTTACTGGTTCTTACCATACCATATATTTTAGCCCTTTGGATACAGCAGAGAATCTGAAACTGCTGGTGTATGTTTTGTTCTGAGTGTATTTGACATAAGCTATTTAACTAGAACTCTGTATCTATGCAGATGTCCTAGAAATTGGCAGGACTCCAATGGTTCTTCCATGTCTTTTCTTATTCTTGCTCATCCTCACGTCACCACATATGAAACTGTCATTTTGTAGAACCCAGTGTTGAGAGATCCCTTCTTGTTATGCATCTAGCCAAAGTGACTTGGGTTTTTCATCTCAAACAGTCAAAATAACACTTTTAATGAAGGAAAATGTATTCCTTCATTCCTTCAGAATGTACTAAGAATCTAAATACTGTGTCATGTGATCCACTATCTGTACCAGAAAATTTGGCAAGGTCTGCCCAGAACTCATCACTGATACACTATAAATGTAACATCCTGTGTTTCTTGTTAAAGAAAGTATTTTATGTATATTGAGCAATCATAAGAAGCCTAATAATGCAAATCAGAGAACTGAATTTGGCTTCAGAAAACCCGAGAGGTAAGCCCTAGCTTTCCCTCTTTCCTGTGGAGGTGGACATAAGACTTCACCTTCTTACCTTTAAGATGGGATTAATCCCATTCTGCCTCCTCCCCAGGATGGTCATGAGGAACAAAATGATAAAATAAACGTGAGAGGTCTTTTCATACTATAGACATAATACCATGTGAGGAATTGGTATTATTTGTTATCCTCCTGGTCTATTTTAAGCTTTATATTTTTTTAAGGCAAAGTATCAGAGAGCCATTGACATTTTGTTGATAGTCACTTAAAGCCAAACTTTGAAGGATCTGGGCACAATTTTAAAAAACACATTTCCAACACAACCATGAAGTTTAAAAAGTAGCCAGTTAAGAGAAGTGTTTTTCCTTTTGTTCTGCAAAATATAGCACTAGACTTGAAATTCATTTAATAGGTTATAAACAAAATTAGTGACTAGATATAAATTCAAAAAATCAAAAAAAGCTCAAGGGAA